CCCTTCTATTATAGTCTATATTTGTCCTTATTAGTCTATAATGTCCGGGAATTGTAGTAGTATGTCCTTATCCTATTTAGGTCTCCTTGCCTATTTAGCTATCCTCTATATCTCCTCTAGTTTCTTTATAATTATTCCTATTATAGATCTCTATTCTTGTATCTTATCTTTCTTAATCTAGATCTTCTTTTCCTAGTAGGCTTTGTTGTAGTTGTCCTATGCTTCCTAGGTGTAGGTTTGTGTCTACTGCCTCCTAGCCTTCCTTACTACTTTAACCTTCCTTATATACTTACTAGTCTAGTATAGTTGCTAGTATAGTGAATGTTTCTTTGCTAGGGTATACTTTCTAGCTACCTATTTTAGGATTCCTATTAGTTCTTCTACTACTTTGTTAATGTCCTCTAGCCTTAGTAGGTGCTTTATTAAGAGTTCCTCTAGTTTTAGGTCCCTTTCTAGTTCCTCCCTAATCCTGCCCTATTAGGCACCTTTCTAGTTAAGCTTCTCTTCTAGTTCCCTTTCCTAATTAGCTTAGACATTTAGCTCAATCTGTACTAGGAAGTAGTCTAATAATTCTTCTAGTTCCTAGTTGATCCTATATCTTGTAATCCTGTTCCTAATCTAATATAATATAAAGTATAGGTCTAGTATGCTACTGCTTCCTCTTGCCTCCTAAGTAATTAGTCCCTTTAGGGTAACAATTTCCATTCCTTCCCTCTCTAATATATTAATTAGTCTTCCTGCTAGGAAGTAGTAAGCTAGGGTAAAGTCTAAGCCCTAAAGGGGATAGTAGAGGTTGAAATCCCTAAGTAGGATTTAGTAGGTATTCCCCTAGATAACTCTAGGTAGTCTTTCTAGGGTTTTCAGTTAGGTACTACTTCTTAAGTCTAGTAGTAGGTTATATATACAGTGGACTTAGAGTATACCTTAGGATATCTCTACTTAAACTAATATTAGGTCCCTATCTTCTTATAGTATAGCCTGCTAGGTTTCTGTATCTATCTCCTTACTAATATAGATGTATATCCTTAGGGCTCCCTAGTTGTAGATAATTAGGTAGTATCTTAGGTCTTTAACTATTGCTAGTCTTTTTGTATATAGGTTGAGCTAGGGTTCTTGGATTGTAATAATGTAATATTCTTTTAGGTTTAGTGCTTAAAGGAAGCTCCTCTATACCTTATCTTTACTCTTGTTGATATTGTACTATATAATGTTTAGTAATGTTGCAATATTTAT